GCGCATTAGTTTGCATGAGTATATTTTTGTTTGCACACACACGCATATATACAGATTTATGTGCAGTTTTATTTGGATATACTCCCCTTTTTGAATATACCTCCCTGTAGAGTATATTTTACAAACTTAGATATATATCCGTCCATTCATCACTAAAGTCTATGAACTCACATCACTCATTTAACACACACACACGCAGTCCTACAGAAACACGACATTAATTCCAGGAATACGCGGGAACAGCCATAATGCACAATAACACACAATAACACAACACTCAATAACACAATAACACACAGGATAATAACACTATAATACACAATAACAAACAATAATACACAGCAACACACAACAACACACAAATAACACACTAACATGCAACAAAACATAAAACACACGTTAACAAACAAAAACACAACACACAACGCACGGTAACACAAAACACACAGCACACAATGACACAAAATAACACACAGCAAAACACATAATAACACACACAACACCCAACAATACACACAGCATACAATAACACAAAACTAACACACACAACAATACACACAATAAAACAAAATAACACACAAAAAATAACACATAACACACAATAACACACACAAAATAACACATAACACACAACACAAATAACAATAACACACAAAAATAACACACAAAACAAAAAACAGACACACAACAACGCTACACAAAAATCCTAAAAACGGACACACACACACACACACACACACACACACACACACACACACACACACACACACACACACACACACACACACACACACGCACACACACACACACTTCCGGACTTCTCACCTGGACTCTGGTGAAGGAGGTCCGCGGCTTCTTTCGCTTCGGCGGTGTCCTCGATTGATAAGGGTGTCCGATCCTCCGCGGGAACCCAAAGGGACCTGTTGAGATAAGAGATAAAAAGAGAGAGAAGGGAGGGATTAGAATGCGTGATCGGAGGCTGTTTGTGGGGGGGGGGGAGACAGGGAGGGGGGGGGAAGGGTGGTTGGAAGGAGGGTGGGTGGGTGGGGAGGGAGGGGGAGGGAGAAGGAGAGGGAGAGAGGGAGAGGGAAGGAGGGAGAGAGTGAGAGAGAGAGTGAGTGAGAGAGAGAGAGAGAGAGAGAGAGAGAGAGGAGAGAGAGAGAGAGAGAGAGAGAGAGAGAGAGAGAGACAGAGACAGAGACAGACAAAGAGAAAGAGAAAGAAAGAGAGAAAAAGAAAGCGAAAGAGAGAAAGAAAGAGAGAGAACGTGTGCGAGCGAGGAGAAGGAAAACAAAAGCGCAGAGGAAAAGTGTTAAAAAGGATTAGATTAGAAGATTAAAAGCAGAGAACCGAATCAAAAGGATAAATATAGAGGATTTAAAAGATAAAATCCAAAGAAACAAAAAACGAAAGGATCAAAATCCAGGATTCAATGAAAATATAAAAAATACCACTTTTTTGCTACCAAAGACACGAAAAGAGAAAGAGAGAAAAAAAAATAAAAGCTAAATAAAAAGAGAGAGAGGAAACATACATAAAAATACAAAGATAGTGAGGGGAAACGTAATACAAAATATAAAAAAGAGAAGAAAAGACATAAAGATATAAAGATAGTGAGAAAAAAATCACAAAGATAGTGGAAAATACGTAACAAAAAAAAAGAGGAAACAACATAAAAATACAAGAATAGTATGGGAAAAAACATAACACAAAAGTACAAAAAAAGAATTGTGGAAAAAAAAAACATAAAAAACAAAAAACAAAAACAAATCATAAATCACGGAAAACACATACGTAGGTTTAAAAACTAAAAAAAACTAAAAAAAAAAATAATAATAATAAAAAATAACATCGGCCTTTAACCGACGAGGAAATTGAGAGTGTCATGATCATCAGCATGTTAGTAAGACTGATCATTGTTCCGTGTTTGTGGAGCATCGCGTGACGCAAGTCCCTTCCTGGCTAGGCGTCTTATAAGCAGATATATGTTTTCTTAAGATTAATGGTAGTAAATTCTCTATCATTTCGAGTTTCACTTAATTTCAAAACCCATTTTTCATTTTCTGTCTTTTGTGCAATGGGGAGGAGGTGGGGGTGGGGGTTGGGGGGGAGAGTGTAGTCACGCTGTCACGAGACGTTTAAAGGCTTTCGTCAGTGTCAGTCTAAGAACGATAAAGAAATGGATAAAGAGTAAATAAATGGATGAGAAATTCATATCCAAATGCAGAATTTAAATACTAACCAAAATATTTTATTTATCAATACTGCGAAGTGCAGTATAATATATACATATTTTTTTTTCTTTTTCTTTTTCTTTTTTTAACACTTAATACCGATGTGTTTTATATTCATTAGAGGGCGAAGGAGAGACAGGAGAGAAGGACTCAAGCACAACGAGAGAAAGTACATAAGACAGGGAAAGAGAAAGAGACTCTTGGTAATACTAATGAAAAAAAAACGGGAAATCAAAATTCCCTTCTTCCAAGCCCTTTACCACGCCAGAGAAAAACGTCCCACGTCGTCGATTTTATACACACGACCCTTAAAGAAAGGAAGCGATTTTACACACATTTTAAACACGACCCTTCACGAAAAGAGAAAGAAAGTGATTTTATACACACGACCCTTCACGAAAAAGGGAAAGAAAGCGATTTTATACACACATTTCTTCAAGAAAACGATTTCATACAATCGACCTTTCAAGAATGGGAAAAGAAAAAAAAAAATCTTATACACACGACCCTTCAGGGAAAGGGAAAGAAACCGATCTTAAACACACGACCCCTCAAGGAAAGGGAAAGAAAGGAAAGAAAAGCCCTGATCCACACATACACAAACCAACCAGAACAGACGTAGGAGGACCACGTGGTTTTCCTCAATCACACCACCGAGTTCCTAGCCGGGGGTACCATACGTGGGTATCATGTCACCCATCCTTCAGGAACTCTGACCGCGGTTCTTGGGGATTGTGTCACGAGGTTGATGGAGAGGGAGGGAGGGGGGGGGGAGAGGAGGGGAGGGGGAGAGAGGGAGTGACGGACGGACGGACGGACAGAGGGAGGTAGGGAGGGACAGGAAGAGGGAGAGGGAGAGGGAGAGAGAGAGAAAGGGAGAGAAGGAATGACAGGCAAATAGAGATACAAAACCAAAGACAGACAGAGACAAAAACAGACAGACAGACAGACAGACAGACGGACCGAGAGAGAGAGAGAGAGAGAGAGAGAGAGAGAGAGAGAGAGAGAGAGAGAGAGAGAGAGAGAGAGAGAGAGAGAGAGAGAGAGAGAGAGAGAGAGAGAGAGAGAGAGAGAGACCGAGAGAGAGAGAGAGAGAAACAGACAGACAGAGAAAGACATAGCAATAAAGAGGCAACTCGCCCGACAGACAGACCACCTGGAGACCGCAAATGTCGCTCCCTTTAGCTCCTCGAGAGACCAGAGGATACGACTGTGGGCGTGAGAAGTGGAGAAGGATAATGACAGGGAGAAAAAGACATGAGAATGTGATAAGTAGAGGAGAGAATAGGAAGACTAAAGAAAGATAATGGGTACTTGAGAGGCAGAAAAGGGAAGATAGGCAGACAGACGATGGGAAGAAAATGAGAACGTAAGAAATGGAGGAGGATAATGACTAGAATAGGAAGACTAAAGGAAGATAATGAGGCAGAAAAGGGAAGATAAGGTAGACGAAGGAAAGAAAAAGCGGAAATGGAGAAGGAGGAGTGTTGGGAGACACAGAGACAAAGAAAAACACCGATAAGGAAGGTAATGAGAGTTAAATTGGTGAGAGGTGAATAACAAACCAGCATTAATCAAAGAAGAAGAAAAAAAAGTGACAAGACAAAAAAGAGAAAGAAAACGAAGGAGGGGAAAGGAGATGACACTAAGGAATCGAAAGAAGATATCAGAATGGGGGAGGAGGAGAAGGAGAGAGAAAAGGGAGGAGGAGGAGGAGGGGGAGGAGAAGGGTGGGGGAGAGGGAGAGGGAGAGGGAGAGGGAGAGGGAGAGGGAAATGTGGAGGGAAATGTGGAGGGGAGGGGAGGGGGAGGGGGAGGGGAGGGAGAGGGAGAGGGAGAGAGGGAGAAGGAGAGGGAGAGGTAGAGGGAGGGAGAGGGGGGGAGGGAGATGCGAGTGACGTAGATGGGTTGGGGGATAAGCTGGGAATACCTGGAGTTGGCGCTAAGTGGAACACCAGAGATTTAATTGTAGTGGTCACTTATGGGGCACTTAAATAGAGTGCGGTGCGGTGTCGGGGTGGGAGGAGGGGGGGGGAGGGGGAGTGTTGGTAGTGGAGGAGGAGGTGGAAATGGTGGAGGAGGAGGAGGAGGAGGAGGAGGAGGAGGAGGAGGAGGAGGAGGAGGAGGAGGAGGAGGAGGAGGAGGGGGAGGTGGAGGAGGAGGTGGAAGTGGAGGTGGAGAAAGAGGAAGAGGAAGAGGAAGAGGAAGAGGAAGAGGAAGAGGAGGTGGAAGTGGAGGTGGAGGAAGAGGAGGAAGAGGAGGAGGAGGAGGAGGAGGAGGACGAGGAGGACGAGGAGGAGGAGCAGCAGGAGGAGCAGGTGGAAGTGGAGGTGGAGGAAGAGGAGGAAGAGGAGGGAGAGGAGGAGGAGGAGGAGGAGGAGGAGGAGGAGGAGGAGGAGGAGGAGGAGGAGGAGGAGGAGGAGGAGGAGGAAGAGGAGGAGGAGGAAGAAGAAAAGGGAGAGGGAGAGGGAGAGGGAGAGGGAGAGGGAGAGGGAGAGGGAGAGGGAGAGGTGGAGGTGGAGATGCAGATGAAATGGAGATGGAGACAGATACGGAGAAGTAGATGGAGATAGAGATGGAGATGGTGGAGGCGAAGGTGGAAGAGGAGGAACATGATAACATGAAAAGGGACACGAAGAGAAAGACCATGAAGCGGCGACCAAAAGAATAAGAGAAGAGACCTGGAGGAACGTGACAAGGCAAACGAAAATGGAAATGAGCAGAACAGATTGGAGAACACGAAGAAGAAGAAGAAGAAGAAGAAGAAGAAGAAGAAGAAGACGAAAACGAAGATGAAGAAGATGAAAAAGAAGAAGAAGAAGAAGAAGAAGAAGAAGAAGAAGAAATAATAATAATAAGAAGAAAAAGAAGACGAAGAAGAAGAAGAAAAAAAAGAAGAAGAAGACGAAGAAGAAGAAGAAGAAGAAGAAGAAGAAGAAGAAGAAGAAGAAAGAGAAGAAGAAGAAGACGAAGACGAAGAAGAAGAAGAAGAAGAAGAAGAAGAAGAAGAAGAAGAAGACGAATACGAATACGAAGACGAAGACGAAGACGAAGAAGAAAAAAGAAGAAGAAGAAGAAAAAAGAAGAAGAAGAAGACGAAAACGAAGACGAAGAAGAAGACGAAGAAGAAGAAGAACTGCGCTGACTTTCGCACGCCAAGATCGCAGCAAGAAAAGATGGCAAAGGAAATGACGGAGAAATGTCGACCAGGAAGGAAAAAGAATGATGATAATGGAGTGGGAGAAGGAAGGGGAAGAAGAAGAGGAAGGAAAGATATGAGATTTGATTGATTTTTTCCCCCTTCTTTTCGTTTTCTGTTGCTTTCTTCTCTCTTTCTTTTCCTCTCTTTCTTGGTTCTCGTTTTGTATTCGTCTTTCTTCTCTTTCTTTCTTTCTTTCTCCATTCTACTTCGCCCTCATCACCCTCCATCTTCCCCTCCTTACCCCCCTCTCTCCCTCCCCTGTCATCTCCCTTTCTCTTTCCATCCTACCATCTCCTCCTCCTAATTCTCTTCCTTCTCCTCACTCTCATCCTCCTTCTTTTCCTCCTCTTCTTTCTCTTCCTCCTCCTGATCTCCCTCCTCATCTTGTTCTTGTTCTTGTTCTTCTTCTTTCTCCTCCTCTCTCTTCTCTCTCCTCCTCTCTCTCCTCCTCCTCCTCCTCCTCCTCCTCCTCCTCCTCCTCCTC